CATTCTGAGTTGTTATCCATTACGCCACCCGCATATCTTCATACTTGTTGGAGTAATTAATGGGGAAAAAAAATAAGTCAGTCTTCTATCAAGTCTCGAAACCGATTGAATTTCCAATTTTGCTTACAGGGTTCTTTGTCTTTTATTTTTTGTTTTTGTTTTCATAATAAAGATTTTCCCAGATGTTACTTTTATTTAGTACAAAAGAGTTAGCTTAATTTAATTTGGTACATAGATACAGTTCCAAAGATTGAACTTACTTTCTCATACCAGCCAATGGTTCGCAGTTGTAGCTTTCCTACCAAGTAATCAATAAAGCTTCTCCTTCTACACCTGCCTTCACTCCAAGTTGACTTAATCCTATACATTTTATGGCCTGTTTTATGGGAATGCAATAAAGGAACTCAAATATCTATTAACCTTGCTATTTCACGTTCTTAATGTGGATTTGTTTTACTTTGTTTATTTGAAGGGATGGTCTATAAAAAGAAAAAAAAAGGCGATAAAAGATGCAAAAAAAACCTGTGTGTTTGGGAGTGTCTTGCAAAAAAAGAGTCTTTGCTAAATATGAAACAGATTTGCAAGGAAATCAAAACATGATTTAAAAAAGAAGTTCACTTTACAAAATAAACGTTCTTTAGGGAAACTCGACCATTTTTTCTTTCTTTCTTTTGCAGCCGAAAAAATACCTGCTAAAGATAAATGTACAGTTATTCATGCATATATATATATATTTTTTATGCGCATATTCAGTTGATGTGCGTATGATATGCGCATATATATATATATAATCTGCTTGGTGGCCGAAATAGTAGCATATTGCCCATTGTCGTTTGTGGCTGATCCCGATTTCAGCTTATGAAACGCTATGAATTAAAATGACGATTCTCATGACAGGCATCAGATTCTTGATTGAAAGATTGGCGCAAAACAATCTTCCTATCCATCAATTTCCGGTTACTTTGTGCCTGCCGAAGATAAGCTTAAATAAATACACACAGGTACGCGAGTGCCACACACGTACATATGTACACGCACACACACATATACACACAGTCACATATCATAACATGAATATATCATAAACATACTTTTTAGAATGTACACATAAAACACACACACGCAAATATACAAATCCATATATATATATATATATATATATATATATATATATATATATATATATATATATATACTATATACACACATCAACTGAATATGCGCATAAAAATATAAATATACACAAACATACTTACATACATATATATATATATATATATATATATATATATATATACTCTGATGGTGATGAATATAAAAAAGTATTGATTCTTGCTCTTCTAATTTATATGCAGACAATTTCAGAATTCTTGTACATAAAAAGGAAATATGTGATGTGAATAAGCGTTCTTAAATTTTAGAATCTAAAACTAACAACATTTTTTACCTTTTTTTAAAAATACTAGTTGCAAAA